CCGCGTCCCCCACCCCTCCCCCTCCCCCCCCCGGGGCCCCGGGGGGGGCGCGGCGGCGGCCGCCACCACTCACCCCGTCCTTCCCCTTCCCTTGCTACCAGGTTCTGCATCCCCTCGGGTGGCTTTTCGGAGCGGTGGGTTGCGGGGCTGCAGCTTTCCTTTCCGGGTGGGTTAGTGGTGTTATGGTAGCGTTGCCCTGAGAAGGAGCCGTCTCACATCTTGTCCCTGTCACTATGATGACCGATATCGTTAGCAATTGGAAGCTGGAGCAGTTTGTGCTCCAGAAGTGTCTCCCTCCAGTTTGGTCCCCGGGGTCGTTCCAGGGCCCGGAGGCATACCAGCAGCTCTGCCAGCAATGGGAGAGCTGGTCGGAGGAGTCCAAAAAGCCCAAACCTACAAACAAATGCAAGAAGCGAGCGGCTTTGCAGGGGTTGTTGATGGTGGGCAGGGAGTTGTCTAAGTTGTTGAAGGAGGCTCTTGAGAACGTGCAGACTTTGGAGCAGGCTAAGGGCGAGCTCAAAATACAGGTGGACAACCTGCGTGCGGAGGTGCAGGGTTTGTGTGGGGACTCCCTGCGCAGCGCGGTGGAGATCACCCGGCTGGAGAGCAAGCTGGGCTATGAGAAGCTGAAAACGGAGGAGCTGGAGAAAGAGGTTGGCAAATGGATCGGGGAGACCCACGATGCGCAGAGCGCGGTGCGGGCGGTCCTGCAGGACGTCCAGAGGGACCGGGGCACCGGCCCCGACCACAAAGTGTGCCATGCCAAGATCCAGGAGCTGCAGGCAGAGCTGGGGGTGTCCAGGGGCATTGTGGCTGCCATCCAAGGCAAGAGGAGCCGGTTCGGGAATAGCCAGGGAGAGGACTCCCTGGACCCGCAACCGCCCCACTATGACTATGAGGATGATGTGTGGGGTGCCAGTGGCCCCACCAGGCCATCCCCTTATGCTCCTCTGCGGGAGGAGATGTGCCAGATGCAAGGAGGGGAGGTGGAGGCTTCCAAAACTAAAAAGAACCCCCCCGATGAGCCAGCCAGCCATGGGCCTCTCCAGGCCATAGACACCAACAGGGCTGTGCTCTGGTTTACCCCCGAGCAGCTCAAGACAGTGGGGAAGATGCTGGGGCCACTGACAAAGGAGACAGCGGTCAACTGGCTGTCCAGAGCCCAGCGGCTGCCCCGGTGCCAGAGCGGCAACTTAGTGAGTGACCTGATAGACGTGGTGAGGAAGTGCATGAAGCCGGATGATTTTGCGGCGTTACCAGGGGATGTGCAGATGGGAAACGTCCAGGACATCGGGGATGTCCAGTTGGCCGTGCTCAAGGTGTTCTTCCCCGAGGTTAACCCCTTAGTGCTGTTCCACCAGGAGAAGCAAAACCCCGAGGAGCGGCCCGATGCCTATGTTAACCGTAAGAAGATGCTCTATCAGATGGCAGGGCTGCCCGGGTCGAAGGATTCCCCCATTGATTTTGACAGGCCTGAGTTCAAGGAGCCATTGGTGGTGGGGCTGACCCCTCCGTTGCGGGTGATTGCTGGTGGGGATGCAGCTAGAAAGCCGCTGTTGGAGCTGGAGCAGATCCTGACCCAGAACTTTGAGCTGCAGAAGCAGGCATTCCCGGGGTACATGCCGGGGGGGAAGAAAGGGAAAACCTCAGCCATGCCCTACCAAAATGCAGGGATGAGAAAAATGCAAGGGGACAACCGAAAGGACCCCGATGGTAAAGGCGGCCCAGGGAAGGAGAATCAGCAAGGGCTGAGGTTTCAGAAGTCCAACCCTTGGCGGGCCGAGCTGCGGAAGCGCTTGATAAAGTATGAGAAGCAGGAGGACATCGATGGCTTGCCGGATGCGGAGCTCTTCCGTAAACTGGCCCTGCACGAGGCCAAAAAGCACAACAGCTCCAACCCCATCGACCCGGGGTCTAAGGCTCAGCAATAGGGCTGCCAGGCACCCGCACCGCCCCTCTTTGTGGCACCGATTAAGACCGATGCATGGGGGCGCCTGATAGTTGATATGACTATTGGAGGAGGGGTGCTTGGACAAGTGATGAGAATTGATACTGGTGCCACTTATTCCATTTTGAATCTGGCCCCCGGCGAAGCCGGGCTCTTCCAAACCTGTGAAATTATTGAACTGATAGGGCCAAATGGCCAAAAATCCTCAGTGGCCTTCACGGGGCCCGTACCCTTTGAAATTGGCACTGCCAAAGGGTCTGAGAAATTTGGGAAAATGGAAACGAAAGGGGGAAAGCCGGGTGTTTTAGCCATCTCCACCCTTACAAAGATGGGGGTGATGGTGGACTTGGCAAACCAAGCACTGTTGCATTGCCCCCAGGGTGATGTGCCTGTCATCCCGGCGAGCCATAGGGTGATGTCGGTGAAAGCCCCCGAGCTCCTGGTCCACCCTGAGTGGGAACCTCGGGTGAAACGGGTCACGGAGCAGTTCCCCCAGGTCTGGGCAAGGAGCAAGCTGGATTGTGGGCAGATTGATGCTGTTGTAGCAGTCAAAGGGCCGGATCCCCCTCCTCAGCCACAGCCCTGGTACCCGGCTGAGGCTGAGACCAGCCTGTGGGACACAGTCAGAACCTTGCTGGAGCAGGGGGTGTTGGTGGAGCAGCAGAGCACCAGCAATGCCCCAGTGTGGCCCTTGAGGAAAGCTGATGGGAAAACATGGAAGCTGACAGTCGACTTCAGTGCCCTGCACTGTGTCACCCCACTGCGCACCTCCATGGTGGCCAAGTACCCCGGCATCCTGTCAGCCATCTCCCGGGGATCCGAGTGGTTCTCGGTGCTCAGCCTCACCAGCCCATCCTTCGCCATCCCCCTGCACCCCAAATCCTGGCACAAGTTTGCCTTCACCCTCCGAGGACGGCAATTTGCCTTCACCAGAGTCCCCCCGGGCTTCCAGAACACCTCTGCCATCTGCCACGCACATGTGGTGAGGATGTGGGAGAGGCTCGGCCACCGGGAAAGCGTGATGTCCTGTGCTGGTGACATCCTCATCCATACCCGCACGAAGGCGGAGAACCTGGAGGTGCTGGCGGAGGTGCTGGAGGCTGTGCAGAGGACAGGCTTCAGGATCAGCCCCATGAAAGCCCAGCTATGCTGGAAGGAGGTGTCCTACCTGGGGGTGACCCTAGGGGAGGAAGGGTGCTCGCTGGAGAAGCAGAGGGTCCAGCTAATACAGAAGGTGCCGGCGCCAGCCGATGCCACCACCCTGAGGTCCTTCCTGGCCCTCCTAAGGTCCTGCAGGGAGTTTGTTGAGGGTTATGCAGAGAAAGCTGCCCCCCTCTGCCACCTCCTGAAGAAGGACACCCCCTGGGAATGGGGGCCAGAGCAGGACGAGGCAGTGAAGACCTTAAAAGAGAGCGTGGCACAAGCCCCTGTGCTGGTGCGTCCCCGTGGGGACAGACCCTATGTCCTACAGCTGGCCAGCACAGGGAGGGGGCTGCAGGCCACCCTGCGCCAGCAGCAAGATGCCCATCTCCTCCCTGTTGCCCATGCCTCGCGCCTCCTGACACCGACCGAGCAACAGTTCACTGAGTACGAGAGGGAGGTTTTAGCCTTGACCTGGGCTCTGCAGCACTGGGAGTACCTGGTGGGGTCAGCCCCAGTGCTGCTGAGGACCTCCCGTGCCCCGGTGAGGTATCTCTTGTCGGAGAAGGGGGACGAGGATCCCCTGTGCTGCCCCAGAATGGCCAACTGGGCGCTGGCACTGACCGACAAGGGGGTCCCTGGGGCCCCGTCACCCGGTGCCTACAGGGTGGTAATCAGTGGGGAGAGGGATGTGGGGGGCGTCTCCTGGCCGAGCCCGGGCTGCGGCAGGCGCCCCTGTTTGAGAGCAGCCTCAGCCTGCAGGAGGCCAAGGACAGAGGCTACGTTGTGTGGTTCGTAGACGGGTCCAACTACTACGAGCAGGGGGTGCCCTACACAGGCTACGCTGCGGTCAACCAGGGTACCGGGGAGGTGGTGAAGGGGAAGTGCCTGCCTCACTCCATCCAGGCTGCTGAGCTGGTGGCCGTGACGGCCGCCCTTGAGAACACACCAGCAGACCAGCCCCTGGCTGTGGAGGGAGAGGGACATGCAGTCTGCTGATGGCAAGCCTGTCACCTATGCCAAAAAGCTGCTGTACCTTGCGAGGCTGGCGGAGCAGAGAGCGCACCCAGCCCAGATCATTAAGGTCAAGGCGCACAAGAAGGGAACGGAGGAGGCCAAGTGGAACAAGGAGGCAGATGCGAAAGCCAAGCAAGGGGCAAAGGAAGGGCTGATGTGGAAGACCAGCAAGCCCATGGAGAATACCTCCGTGTTGGTGGCTCCCAGCAGACACTGGGAGAGCGTGGACCTGCCTGGCTTGCAGGCACAAGACCCCAGCGTCCGTGATTTAGCGCAGGGCAGGGTGTATAAAGGGTGCAAGGTGTGGAAGGATGTCTCGGGTCTGGTCCTGGCGCGGAGGGAGGGGGCAGACTTCCCAGTCTGGGTGGTGCCTGAGCTGGTCCGGATGGAGCTGGTGGCCCTGGCTCATGAGCAAGGGCATCTGGGGACAGACAAGACCATGGTGAGGCTGCAGAGTGCTGGGTGGTGGCCTGAAATGAGAGAGGATGTGGAGAGGTATGTCAGCAACTGCTTGACTTGCGCGGCCAACAATCCTGACATCAAAAAAGCCAAGGCCCTCCTGGGTCATCAGAGGGTTTCCGGGCCATGGAGCAAGTTGCAGATGGAGTTTATCGGTCCTTTGCCCCAAACAGCCCAAGGCAACAGGTATTGCTTAGTGATCAGCGATAGCTTCACCAACTGGGTGGAAGCGTTTCCAGCTCGAAGCAACACGCCCAGCGCAACCGCTAAGATCCTGGTAGAGCACGTCTTCTCGCGGTGGGGAGTCCCAAAGGAGATTGACTCGGACCACGGCCAACGCTTCGTCACAGAAGTCACAAAAGGGGTGTGCCAGGCCCTTGGCATCAAGCAGAAGCTTCACATCACAGGCCATTTCCAGAAGCCTGGCTTGGCAGAGGCACCCAACCAGCCACTGAAGACAGCGCTGAGGAAGCTGGTGAACCAAAGGAAAGACTGGGATCGGAAGCTCCCACTGGTCCTGCTGGCCTTACGGGGGACCATGGCATCTCAAGCACCTTCTCCCCAGAAGCTGCCTCCTGCAGGAGACCTGAAGCTGCTGGGGCACTGGTGGCAAAGAGGGGAGCCGCCGGATGAACTGCAGCCCCGTGTGCTGATGGACAAGTGGGTGCAGGACATACTGAGGACGGCGTTGGCTACGTACCACCAGCTCGCCTCGGGGCAGGACACCAACATCCCTAAGATGGATAAGCAGCTGGGAGCGTTGCTGCGCCCCATGGAGTGGAACACAGGGGACCTGGTAACGTATCGGGAGGTTAGAGAGAAGAACCAGGTGCTGGAACCCCAGTGGATGGGGCCCGTTAGGGTGGTGAACAAGGCCAGCCCCTCCATGTACCAGGTAGAAATCAGAAAGGGGGCAAAAAGGCAGGAAAAGTGGTTCCATTCTTCACAGTTAAAAGCATGGAAGGGAAACTAACGGGGCTGGAGAGCCCGTCTTGTTTATGTTTTGCAGATAAAGGAAAATGGAAGGCGATTGTGACCGGCGGGAAGGGCGAACTTCGTGGCGTCACCAGCCCTGTTTGCGCTATGGGGAAAATGCTTTCAAATTTGTGGTTGCAGGATTTGCTTTGCTCTCTGGTATGTGCATAGCCCTGAGCACCCAGTGTGCCCAACCAACCCACCAGCACCTCAGGCAAAAAGCCAGTCGTTCCCACTTAGAAAAGCATCTCGACACATGGGTCCAGCGCAGGGTTAGGAGACACACGAAAACTGAGACTGATTGGCCCTGGTCTCAAGCTCACATAAAATACACAGGGAGCATGGGATTAAACTCTAACAAAGGCTTAAACCTGTCAACGGTGGTGATGCACGGGACAGAGGTGTACCTGGAAAACGAGTGGAGCTGGGATAGCACAAACAGGCTGCCACAGCTGCTGGGGATGGTGGGACAACAGATAAGGGTAGGGTGCAGGGTTATCAATGGATCCACTCACCAGCGAGTAACCCAGATCTCTGTAACCGAAGTAAAAACTAAGAAGACTCAGAAAAAAAACTGTGCTGTGGAAAAATGGGACTGTTGGTGCAATTTCACTTTGACCCAGCCAGTCTTTGTGGTCTGCCTTTGGGCACAAAACAGCGTGGGGCTGTCCTTTAAGTTCAAGATTAGCACCATGACACACTCTTTTGCTGCTGTCAAGGTGTCAAAGTGCCATTTTCTGGCCTGGCACGCAGCCCCATACGCTGAAGTTGGCAACCAGGTACAACTGGAAATTGAATACTCCCAAGAAAGTGTAACTGACCCGATGCAAATCGATGGCACCACCATGAGCGTCACTGCCCCTGATGGCCGCAAGTGGGTCATGCCAGTAAAATGCCTCCCTGAGAGCAAAACACTGAATAGATCTGAATTAGGTGCAGAAGCTTCATGGTACAATCAGGATTATGGAGTTTGTGCACACCTGGTCATAAACCTGCAGGTGTGGTGTCGAGGCAGCCTCAGCATAGACATGTCCGCTGAGCTTGGAGGGAAGTGGTGGATAGGAGGTCCTGAAGGATTTAAGAAGGAGTTTACCATCATTGCTGTCTTACGCCCCTTCATCTCCAAAATAGGCCCTTATGTAGTCAAGCAAAATCACATCCAAGAGCTGTTGACAGGGCCTGTCCGCTCACTGAAGAAGGTGGTGTTGTCTCTGTCCACTGTCAACATTTCATCCATCAGACCTCACTGTGCCCCCTTCCTCTCCACGCTCCACGCGGGCTGGCTGGCATGGCTCCACAGCCGCTCCATCCAGGGCACCCGGGCCAGGAGAGACCTGCTGGCCACGGCGCTGGCCGGAGGAGGTGCTGGGATGGGAGTCCTCAACACTATGAACGTTGAGGTTTTGGCCAACAAGTTGGAGGCTGTCACCTCGGGTGTGCAGGGGCTCCTTAACCCCTTGAATTCGTCCCTGGCCAGCCTTGGGATGGGGCAGTGGCTTGTGTCAGAGGTGCTGCCTACCTGGGAACAAATAAATGAGAAAGACCACCAGATGCTGTTGCGAGCGCTGGGCATCGAGCAAAATAACGTCTCTCTTGCTCTTAGCTGCATCCAGGCCCAGATGTGGGTGCAGAGTGTCGTTGCAGGTATCCTGAGAGATGGGGACAACGGTATCCTCCCCACCGAGGTCCGAAAGATCGTGTGGGACGCGGCCACAGAGAAGGAGCGGCAGCTCCAAGCCTGGTGGAGGCTTGTCAACTTCACCCACGACCAGGTCCTCAAC